CCAAACCCGACGATATCCGTAGATATCGGCACAGGAATTAGATAACGAACGAGTACAAATCAGTCTATACACTTTCTTCCCCCCTCAATTGTTGTAGGTAAAATCGTTGATTACGCCTAATTACGATCCACTTGCAACAATATCAACATTTCCGGACAGAGGAAATTGATCCAATGAAATTATTTCATTAAACATGTCGTTGATCGAATTCTCGACGTCCGCATTATCAGTATTGATCGTGGAAAGATGAGTATTATCAATGGTCGTTGAAGCGGTGATAGCAGTATGACTATATTCAATTGTTGACGTTGTATTATTCAAAGAGGACGACCTTACGATTTGTGCTGCTTCTTGAGGAAGTGAATTGTTACTCGTTGAGCTAGGTTTATATGACGATGTAAGTGCGTATTTCTTTTGTTCACGGAAAACCCATTTCTTAGCGCTTGAATCTTTTGTATTTTTTGGCCTATACCTATAATTAGGATATAAGCTTTTGTGATTCTCACAAGCTATTTTTTCTAATATTTTGAAGAAATGCTTAGTTTCGCTTGATAGCTCTCGCCACTTTAAACTACATTTCTTGGCTGTTTCTTTGACTTTTTGTTTGATGTGTTGATTATGTAGACGTAAATGCGCTTCATAATCTCTTCGAAAAATTATCCAGCTGTTCTGTGGTCGTGGTTTATTGGCTAAAATTGATGATCTACTTTCAATATCACCATTATAGAAATTAAAGACGAAAACTTACTTGCACCCAGAAATATAACGGTGTAGCGAAACTGTCAATTAAGGTCAAGCATTTCTTCAAAATATTTGAGGAAACAACTTACGAGAATCATAAGCGCATTATCCTAATTATAAGTGGAAAATTCAAATTTATTTTTTTTAGAACAAAAAATACTCGGTCAATTCATTATCATCATCGCCTCATTGACAAATAAAGTGATGAATATACATCAGTTCAATTTGCGATTCGTACTAAAACTTCTGATCGATACCGGTGAAATCGGTAATTATATTAAAAATAATTGCAATCTATTATGTACTTGATGATATAAATCACTTCAAGATTAAACGATTGTTGATAGCGATAGCTATATGACGTGACAGGCGTATTTCTAATTTGATCTATTCTGATCAGTAAATGTAATTCTTTAAATCATTAGCATTTATCCAAATATTATTATTGTCTCTTTTATTTTAAGCTTGTTAAAAATTTTATGATTTGATTAATTTCTTATTTTGATTATTTATCTATAGTCTTGTATTTGAGTGTGGCATTTTGTAATATGAGAGTAAGCAATTGATTAATGAGCAACAAGGTATACAATATACATGACTAAAAACCGAATGAGCAAACCAGTTAACGAACGAACGAATGAACAAGCAGCCAGAGCGAGCAGAAAAAATAAAAGATAGTAACAATTGTGCAAATTCTAGAAATATATTCTTTAGATTCTGGAATTATAAAAAACTGCGCCACCTGGAATACTGGAGTTATATAAATTTATAATTCCGGTACAGTACACGACACCTAGTTCCGCAGTTTTATATTGTTACTTTAAAGCCCATAACTTTGGTGTAATTAAATTTTTAAACAAAAACTAAAAATTTAATTGTAGACACACTATGGTCTACAATTCAATGTTTAGTTTCTGTTAGAAATTTAATTCTACAAAAGTTATAGGCATTAAAGTAGGTGTCGTGCACTGTACAAATACTAAAATAACTGGAGTTATAAAATTAACAATACTGTCTATACTATATTAATTATTATTAAGTATCAATCAACGTATTAAGGTGTTATATATGAAGTGACTTTAACCCGCAATCTTTCAGATATACTTTCTATTTATATTAGATTCGTATAATTGGAATTCCTTTTTCCAAAAGACACTATTTCTAATTTTGAATACTATACATATGGTAAAATTCATAAAATCATTGAAATGTGCTAATGTTTAACGTTAATGCCTATTAATTGTAATAGAAGTACAAAAAACCTGATTAAAATAATTGATGCTTGATAATTTCCAGCACTAAAAGCAAAATCGTAAATAACGTGCCAGATATCAGCTAATATGGGAAGGTAGGAAAATAAAATGTGTAAATTTTTGATCAACCCGGCAAAACAAATCCGACGCAAGAAAATGAAAAATGGAAGGCGTATGTCTAAATCCAACTCGGTATGCTAATTAAAATGTCGGTGAGATAATTTTACATATAAATTTACTCTAGCCCTAACCTTAAACGTTAATTATTATTAACCGGGGTGTAGAATTTTTCGAAATGCTGTTGTTGTTATATATAAAATTTAATATGTAAGAAGACATTTTATAATAGTGGTAAAAAATGCAATATACAAAGGATACTTTCGATATGTACGAATAATTTTTATTGAATAATTACTCGAAAAATCTATCTTCGAATAAAATTATATAAATAATCGAAGAACTCAAATTTATTTATTCGAATATTTATTTATTCATGAATATTCGAATAAAACTTATTCGAATCCAATCACTTTACTATGGTACACTAACAGTTTTTTTGGTGAACCCTAGGGGAAATTCCGATTCCCTTCTAAATTCAAGGAACTATTAAAACCTACTAGGAAATCCGGAATTCCCCCAGGGGTTCACCAAAAAAAATCGCTACTGCACTACTCCCTTTTACCTGTGATGTTAGTTCGAATATAATTAAAAGAGGATGTACTGACAATAGGGATGGGAACGGTCTGGTTTGGTTAAGAAATTAGTGGGTTTGGACTATTATATAGGTAAACCAAACCAAACCGCAGTTTATATCAAACTGGAACTTTGGCTTCAAACTCAGTTGAAGCATAATTGGGGTTCAAAATCAGTGTACATGACGTGTTGACTATATTTGCGTAAATAATAAATTTTTATTTCATTCCAAATAATAATGATTAGATGAATGTAAACTACAAAATAAAAATAAAGAAAAATAACAATAAATTGAATTATTATTTTCTCTTCTTTATTCATATCTATTAAATGTTGAAATTCACTAACGTTATCGTTATATACAGCTGCATGGTGTTATGATGAAATAAGATGTTACACGTCATCTCAGAATTGGATTGGTTGATTAACACATGATGAACTGCGTTTTAAAGGATTCTCAAAATTTATAGCCAGAATTATGTAACATCACAACATTTTATAAATTTCTTAACTACGTAAGAAGCAACGGTAAATAACATGGATTCGAGTATGGTGCATCATCAAATGTGTGTATTTTATAAGAAGTAAATTCAAAATTTAATCCGTGAATATGATAGATTAAATTCGTATTTATATCTTAGTTGAGAAGCTTATGACTTTAAATGTTATAACCATATGCAGTAACTAAAGAATAAAACCAATAGATAAAGTGAAAATATAGCAAAAAAATATACATTTGAAAATTAAAAAAAAAATAACGATAACATTATAAAATCACATTAATTCATCGCATTTAATCATAATATCGGTAAATCGGTCGGTAAGGCACAAAAGTGACACCGCAACCGATACTATCGATATTGATCGGTAGTTTCTCGAAACTCCTTCGGTTCGGAAAATCTTAAGAATTACCGATCGGAACCTATTCTCACTCGCAAATTAACTTTTTGGATGGTGGTAGTACACCGAGAGACGGCAAAGTAGCAGCATACTAGTACATATACCAAGAAGCAGAATTATCTTACCATGCTTTGCAGAAACTACATACATAGAGCACTGCATATATGTTGCATGTTTAATTTCAAATAATATCCCGGATACCATATGTATTGCTCTACGGTAAAGTTTAGTATGGTAATAAACTTCTCTTAATTTCTCTTAATTACGAACGTAATATACAGTATCGAAATTTATATATTATATTTTTAGAAGCAAACAAAATTGGGTTATAATTTGTACTGTTTTTAGAAATGGAGAATTTTCATAATAAAAACCATATTTTAGGATTATAAACGTCGTGTAATAGTGTGAAATCTACTTTATTCAAGTAAATAGCAAAGTTTGATTTAACGAGTTTGCTTATTATTACAACAATTGAAAGACCAATGCAGCATTGACTGTTCGTCAACTTCAAACTGTTACTATATTCGCCAACGAAAAGATTTTAATGGAACAAATCAATCTTGAAAATTCATCAATTCGATTTTTGCATATCATATCTTTGAACTTAGGCTCGTTGAGTTTTGAAATTTTCTTACTGTTACTCTTTAATTTAATAACTTTCCTAAAGATGGTGTGTTTTTACTTGATACTTAACTGCGGATCTCCGAAACCGAAATGCTAACGCTAAACTCTAATTTTTTGTAGTAATCTTTAGAAGACCATCTAACCCGTTGAATTAACAAACCTACCAAAGATTTTTTTAGTTTTAGTATTATAAAATAAAAATAAGTTCTCATTATTACGATGAATTGCCATTGTACATACATGTATGATGATAGTGCAGATCCCTTTAAAACCAAATTTGACAATTATCATTATGCTTATCAATCCAAAAAAGAACTTTTTGAAGAAATTTAATCTTGTGCCTTTGTTTAAAAAACGAGGTACTAAATTTGGAACACAGGACACTACGTATAATTTTTCTATTGTATGCATGTGCATATACGTATCTGTATTAAATAGAACACGTTTGCATTGATTGCATGCCAACTCTCGGCATGGCGAGGTACATTAAAAAAAGTCTTTATGCCATTACATGAAGTTTTTTTATACTTAGCAGGTTATGGTGGTGTCGGTATATCCAAAGGCACATGTATATTTACATTCACTGTAAAGAAGTTATATTTCACGTAAACTACAGACGCTAACAAAAAGTACCCGGACACCTGATTTAAAAAAAAATCAGTGTCTTACCTAATTCAAATCCATCATAATTAACCTATCACATAACGATAAATACTTGATGAGTAATCCAAAAATAAAACTTGACATTATTCTGTTTTGATATTATAAATTTTACACACTACCTAATTTCATTTGTGATTTAAAATAGACAGAATCTATTTGTTGTAACAAATTACATGCACGTATGTCATTCAATTTTCCGATTTTGACGAATGTTAAACTGAAAATACAACGACTGATTATTACCTAATAAATTTAACGTTAAGCAATAACTTGTTGTCTAGAAAAGATAGCCAAAAAGAAATTCGAAATGAAATACTGCTAAACATGAACAATGATGATCACTTTTTCGTGTACCCACATTGTATAAAAACGGGCATAAAATAAATTAATGCATGTCTTGGTTTTTACCCGAGGTGAAGAACGAACAAAATGTATATAAAAACCTTCACCAGGAAGTCTAACGTTAATTTTTTGTTCGAGTTTTTTGTATTATAATTCACTTTTCTGTCAAATAGAAGTTAAATAATATAGATTATTATTAACCTTACATAGATATAGAATATTTATTCCAATAATAATAAAGAATGGAGTCGTCTTCACCAAAACCGAAAAGACTATCCATGAATCGAAAACCTACACCAACATTCCTTATATTCACAATAACAGCAACAATGATAGTACATCTTGTTTTGTTTATAGATGTCGCGTATTCAACTCCATTAAAACGTAGTAGTAGTGATGCGACATCACCTATATTATCGCAAAATGCACTTGAAACTTATAAAACGTTTGCTCATTATGCGGATATTACGTATTGTGATGCAGATGTTATAGAGAAATGGGAATGTGGTGGTTCTTGTGATGCTACAGCTGGCACCAAAATAGTTAAAGTTTTTAATACGGATCTTGCCACTCAAGGTATGATTGAGTATACATACTTAAATGTTCTTCGATTAAATTTTAAGTAAGAAATAACTTAACTTTTCATAATTCTAATATTTAGCATATATCGGTGTAAATGACCTACAAAAACAAATAATAATAAGTTTCCGCGGCACATTACCTACAAACGTAAATAATGTATGGACCGACACCCAATTCCTATTCTGCGACTATCCATCAGTTCCCGACGCAAAAGTTCACGCTGGTTTCCTACATGCATTTCAAGAAATTGAATCAGATCTCTTCTCCAAGATACAAGACCTACGAACCGCCAATCCAAATTACAGTATTGGTGTAACCGGCCATAGCTTAGGCGGAGCACTAGCATTACTTACAGGCGTAAGCTTAAAGGTCCGAATTCCTGCGTTAGTCTCAAACGATGATTTATTCGTCGTGACGTTTGGACAGCCGCGTATAGGAAACGACGTTTTGGCTCGATATTTCGACAAGACAATTTCCATACATCGTATTGTACACACCACAGATCTTTTACCACATCTGCCGCCGAGGTCGCTCGGTTATTTGCATATGGATGATGAAATTTGGATTAGTGATGATAAAACAGCAATGAGTGGTGGTACTTTGTCGTGTGATGGAAATGAGAATTCGGTAAGCACAATGTTAAAATAAAATGCAAAGAGATATTATTATTATTATCTTTATATTAATTATAATTATTATCTATTTTTAGAATTGTTCAAATTCGGTTCCGACGACTAAACAAAGTGTTTTTACACATAAGGGACCGTATTTTGGTGTTAACATGCACAGTTGTAAAAATAAAAAACTTGAAATTTTATGAGCTTAATTTAGTTTAAATTAGTTTTTTCCTTTTTAGACGGAATGTTTATAATATAATATTAATAAAACTCTGTAAACCAACATTGTTGGCATCATGTTTTAAATACATCAATACAAATAGTTTTTACGTTTCTACAACAAAACCGGCAATAGCTCAGTTGGTAGAGCGGGAGACTGTAGTGTTTACTGTCATCTCTAGGTCGCTAGTTCAAATCTGGCTTGCCGGACAAACAACTTTTTCTGTTTATTATTATTTGTGCAAGTAATTATGCATGTTTTTGTGAAACCCTGAAAATCACAATTAATCCGAGTGTGTGTATAATAGTAAATCCGCCTCAGTTTTTCATAAATGCTATATTTAAACTAATCGGTTATCGAATTTGTTTATGTATTGCACCAAACTGAATCGAATCACAAAAATTTGCACCCCGTGTTTCATAAACCGTTACCGTTACGCTCAACCCTTTCTTTCATTCACTAGCATTACATTTTAACTCACTGACCCACAATGTTTCAGCCTTTTTTTTAGCATTCTTTATTTCCTATTTCTAATTAGTGTTTCATGTACATATATAAAATAAATGCGTTCGTGTAATTTATTTACATGTAAAGTACAGTATATCGATATACATGAAAATAAATGTACGCTTGCATATCGATATACATGTATTTCATTTCGCTAGATTTTGCGTGGCACAAGTACATATATAGCAAAGAGCATACCGTCTAATCAGCTATATAGTACTGGTACATACTTGTGCATGTAGTTGTTTCAATTGGTGTGGACGTAGATTGATGAGATTGATGTGTAACTAAATAGCGGACAGTATAAAGATACATATAACGATAACGATAACGATAATTCCTAATTTCCATATACGTACATGTAATAATCGGACGAATGTAGCCAACAAAATGCGGAGGAAAAACTATCGTTGTACGTACATGTATTAAGTATCGAAGAATTGGAAAAAAAGTAACATTATACTAATATTTTGTATCACAATTCCATGATTGAACGTTACGATAATAGTAATTATCGTGTTGTTTATAGCATTGCATATCGATACTATTGGTGTTTCGCCCTCCATTGTTATTTGGCTTACGGAAAAATATATAAATAAATCTACGTTTCCCTATGTCTTCTTTACCGTTTGAGACGAGAAGATTCATTTTTCATTGCTCCATAGAAAAAACAGGATAGAATTAGATATTCTTTCTCTTTTTTCTTTGTTAGAATAAAATCGCATTCTACTAGACGTAGAAAGTACACGCTAGATTTTGTCTTTACAATTATTCTGTGAATAATACGTAACATCGATTATACATATAATGAAGTCTTTTGCAATCATTTCACTCGTTGTCTCTTATTTGGCCGTAAGTGCCCATGCTGCGTTAAGTGGTAGTCAAACAATGTAAGTTTTCTATTGCAGTTAGAAAACGACAATATAATATATATTTTTGTTTACCAACGTTTTCTTTTAACAGTACACCAGAAGACTACCCAGTCTTTGGTCCAAAAGCCGTAAACAATCCACCATTCTGCGGTATGCCTTACGCAGAATTAGACTTGAATCGGATTACCGCCGTACAAGGATTAAGTCAAAGCGAATGCGGTACTTGTCTCAAAGTGATTGGTTTGGCGGACGCTTCTAAAAGTGTTTATGTGCTGGCTGTGGTAAATATCATTTTTATTATATTATGCTTGTTTGAGTTGATAATGTTGTTTTGTTAAATTATTGGATTATCATTTAGGATTCAGGTGGCCAAGGTCTAGACTTGAGTACCGGTGCATTCATGGTTCTATTCGGACAAAATCAATCGCCGGCCGGTGCATCCTGGTCACCGGTAGACGCATCACACTGTAATGGAATTTGGTCGAAAGGTGGTAGTAATAGTAGTCCATCTACGACTACTAGTAAGCCAACAATCCCGACGCCTCATCCGAAAGAGTCTAAAAAGAAAACTCATAAAAGTAAAAAGGTTACGGTAAAGAAAGTAAAGAAAGTAACGAAAAAAAAGAAGACAAAAAATTCAAAGAAGACAAAAAATTCAAAGACTACAAAGAAACCCATAGCGAAAAGATTTTATTCTTAATTTTGAATATAAAGACATTTCAAACCTATACTTGCCTAGATTCTTTTAATTTATATGATACTTCCCAATCATCATCCTCCTCCTACAGTTATCAAAATCAATCTCTAGTTTCGTCACATCAAATACAATGAAGCAAAAATTCAGAATTGCTAATCCAGCAGAAAACGACAATACAGTACTACCAATGCAACTTTGATTAATTTAATTTACTGACTATTACTGATTTATGTTATTTGATTTGGTGATTCTTTGAAATGAAAAATAAAAAAGCTAAAAAGTAACGCCCGATTTGCATGTGTTACGATACACCGAAATTTAATCGTGTTTTTCTCCCCTTTTTTTTTTGTTTTTTATACACAGCATTTCTTTTGTTTTTGTTTTTGTTTTTATAACTTTCGCCTACATTATACAATAATTATTGTTATGTAAAATATGCCACCCGCTCGAAC